ACAGATTCATCTGAGCAGCAAAGAAAAACAAGTCCAAGAACAGACAGAGCATTCTGCATGTGCTAGGAACCTTCCAGCCGCTTCCTGGAGGAGCTCCAGCACACATCTCTCAGGTTTCTGTTTGATCACCAACAAGAGGGAAGGGTACTGCTCATCTCACAAACAGGTACTTGCATTATCTCTGGGGAAGTTCATCCAAATCTTAGCTCGCTTACGCCTGGCGGTACGTGATAGCACGCGCTTCTTCCCCTCATAGCTTCTGTCTGAGGGCTGCCTCTGAAGCAGTGCCACAAACCAAAAAAAAACCACAGCCCTGTCACGGCAAAGGGAATTACTACTGCTCATCCATCTCCTTTGGTCAATCTGCTGCCAGGCACTGACAGTGACGGTGGAAAACCAAGACAGCCTGAAGGAAGGAGCCGCCGTGCCAACAAGCAGAAAGGTCAGAAGGACACGAGCAAGGATGTCAGAGCAGAGCAGGGTAGGGCTGGACACAAATCATCGACTGAGCAGCAAGGGAAGGACAAATAGAAATACAGGGGGACAAGACAATAAGATATGGACAACAGAATCGTTGTGTTAAGAAGGAAAGGTCACAGTTGCTCTACAGTAACATGTTATTAACCCAAAGATCAACATGACTTCATAAGGAGCAAAAATCAAACACCAGCTATGCTGGGGGAGAAGGGAGCTGGTGTTTGTTTAGAAGAAAACTTGGTTTTTCTGTATCTTTGTAAACCGAACTTCATCCTTAGATGCATATGACTCACACGAGGGGTATTAGATATGTTTTTAGTCAGATTTAGGAGTTTTACCACACTTACATTTCTGAAAGTCTTGGGTTTCACTCAGACAAGGCATAGTACACCTAATTATACCTGAACAGTGCATGAATACAAAATTTGTGTTTTTTTTAAATCACTGACTACTCTTTAACATATAGACATTTTAATTATAATTAGAAGGTAAAACCAGCAAGTAGTTATCAATGAAATGATATGGTACTATCCTTCCCACTGAACCCGGCGAACAGGCACAATGAACAACTTGTGTACGAACTGATCCCTTGGAAAAAATAAATAAGTAATAAAATAATTTAAATGAGGTGCTTGTAATTGGAATTGCTGCTGACAGCAGGTACAAGAACAACGGAGACTCAGGGCTGGAACAGGACTCCATGAGTCCCATTTCGAGGGCCAGGAAAACAGAGCATGAAGCTGCAAGCAGGTTGAGGTTTTGTGAGCTCGCACTGGCAGAGCTCAGTGCAGCTCTCCAGGGACAAAACATCTCCAAAGATGTCCCATCCTCTCTTTGGCCCCCAAAACACGTTAGCAACACATCTCTGCGCGGCATACAAGTTTGAATAATCAAGTCAAGTTATTCAGGGAACTGTAAAACATGAGCTTTCTTTCATTTCTAGACTAAAGGCGGAAGACATGGTAGGGAAACAGATCGGGTTATGCTTAAGTCAGGCTTTTTCTTGCTTCTACAGACTTTGTTTGCCAGTCTTATTTTAGAAGCGACACAAAGTTCAGAAAACCATCATTATTAAACTAGAACCATCTATTTTAAAACGCTGTCAAAGTAGCAAACCCGCTGCCACAGAATTTGCCAGTCAGTCATTCAGAAATACAGGATGTGTTAGTGTGCCATAAACCCCAAGAAAGCAGCTTCAGTTGTTTTATTTTTTTCCCCCCTGATTTAAGACAATTTCTGTTCCACTGTTTGCACATCGTCAGAATGATAGTAAGGCATCATTAATTCAACGTTGATATTTTAGCAGCCTTGACATAAATTACGATTTACTCCTCGGCCTCCTGAATAACACTTCAGCCGGTATCGTAAGATCCTTTTCTCTTATTGCACTCCTTTCATTCCAGATACAGCTATGGGTTTGATTTTAGTTCTGAAAGTCTGCTTTAGCTGTCCACACAGCTTCAGAAGGTTTCAGAGTTGGTACACCCAGTGACCTCCAGCAATGAACTCCTGCTGGATCGGTGTCTCAGCCCCGACCCAAGCAGCTATACGCACGCAAGGGTCTTGCCCAAGGACCCAAGCTGGGCATGAAGGATAGAGTCTGAAACAGGTCAGTCATCACTGCCTTATTACACAGAGCAAATGCATGCAAACTGCCCTTTACCTAATTACTAGCAATAAAAAGCTGCCATTTGGCCTGTGTTCATTTCATTTACTCCACTGAGTCAGCGCTACACGGCGAGCACCCAGCGTGTACTGGTTTCATAATCACATACTTGAGACAATTTACAGAGATCACCTTTTGGCTTAGCAGTGGGGCCGCCTGAATTTCACTGCTCCAGCCCACATGCTTATTTCGAAGGCACATGAAATCCACCAAACCTGCTGCACTTTTTATAAATCAAGCCCATTCGCAGCGAGGAAAGGTGGCAGGGGAAAAAGCCGTCAAGAACCAAGCTGACAATCGTGCACGACTCGTATCCCACGCAGTAAGTGCCTTGATGGGAGAACAGACAGTGGGCATTCTTCCTCCAGCCAAAACCTTGCATGCCACCCTAGATATCCAAAACCTACATCTTCTTTGAAGCAACTGCAATGCAAACCAGCACAACTGAGATGCTGTTATGACCTTAACCTTGGCAACTGCTGGAAGCAACTAAAAACAGGGAAAGATTACATTCTTAACAGATGTATAATCCCATTTATCTAATTAATTCACACATCTTCTTAGGGCATTTCCTTTTAAATCAAGCATCTAAAATGCTGAAGGGGAACCACAGGCTGAGGATTGCCTTGGCCACAAAAGCTTTGCTGAGTAGCTTTGGCATTATCATTCCAGCGGCAGAGATCAGCCCTTCCAGCCCACCAGCCAAGCACCGCTGGGCGCAGCACAGGCTGAGAACAAGCAGTCCCTACCCCTATCGCTTTAACAAGTGTTCAACCAACAGCATCATCCACGCAAAGAGAAAATGGGAAGAGTAATTACTTTTATCTTCCTCCCTTGCTTTCTGTAGCGGGTACAGTTTAATTAGTTTTCCGTGCGTGGTAAACATAATTCTGCTCTGATGCTACACCCTCTCCCTGTCATCCAGAGGAGTTCCCACGTGTAAGCAAAGACCCTGCACACCTCAGAGCTCTCAGTCGCCCACTGCTCCAGCTCTTTAATTTCCCCTCCAATGAGGGGCAGCTGAGTGGTGACACTGGGTGCAGCGGTCCCCTTTCCATACGGCCAGGGCCCTCCACCACAGCTCGCCAGCTGGTCACTTCAGCTACCAGCTGCTCCACTCTGCCCGAGGGACAACCTCCTGCACCGAACAGCCCTGTTGCTGGCCTTCCTCCAGCAGAGAGGTGCCCAGATCTGCGGGGCCAGTCCCTGCGGAGCCCTGCTGGAAGCACGCCTTTCTCCAGGGGTGTCACAGCCCCGGGGCAAGCGCTCGCCCAGCTGGCGAGTTCCCAGCCTGTTACTGCCTTGTGTACCAAGCAGGGGTGGCACACGCAGGCAACAGGAGCCCCACAAATTCCCAGTGACAAAACCCACAGCTCTGTCCAGGTTTCACAGCCACGGCGCTTACTCCAGGGCCAAGCCATGTCAGGTCTGGCCGCTGCCCTTGTTCTCCACCAGCTACTGGAGGAGGCAAAGCAACCTCAGCTTGGGGAATTCTTCTCACTTTGAGTTACTGCCAGTTAGGGGAAAATTAATCGTTGTTTTGGACGGTGAGGAAAGAAAGCAGAGCACCAAACTTCCAGAGAAGCACCTTTTGTTTCCCTTACCCAAACCCAGCTTCAGGCAAAGACCTTTCCTCCCCACCTGAGCTCCTTGTGCTTCCCTGCACCTTACGCTCAGCCCCTCCTGACCCAGGCGAGACAGGCGGCCGTGGTCAGTGCACAGCCACCTTCTGCCCCACCTCGCTGCTTGCTCATTTTCCTTCCTCCTTAACTGTTCCCTGCTCCAGCAGGTGCAGCTGCTCTGCCGTGACTCACACACAGGTTGCACTCCCTCTGGCAGCATCCCTGCCCCACTATGGGTTGTGCAGGGGCTGCAGTCCCTTGGGTGTCCCCTGCTCGCCCTGCTCTGGTGTCACCCACCAACAGCTGGGTCCTGTGGCGAGGGCTGCCAACAACATCCCCCTCCTGCACGGCCCCCTGGCTCCCCTCTCGCCACAAACCTGCTATTCACCCTCTCGCATGGCTTCTCCCGTGTCTCGGTGTGGGTCTGCGGCCCCTCACAGCTGCCTCTCTTCCTTCATTATTTATGGGCAGCGGCAGCACCGCCGCACGCTCCCACACTGAAGTTTTGGCAGGCGAGGGGCTGTTTTCACCTGGCTCAGCGCTGTCCAGAAGCCGCCGTGCCTGTGGCCGCTCAGCTCGCTGCTTGTGCTCCCACACAGGGCACCCCTGCAGCTCACCAGCACCAAAACACCGCCGATCCTAGCGCAAATTTCGATATTCTCCGATGCCTGCGGTGATGCAACAGCGGCCTTTCGTTTCAGGCAGCGGCACAAAGCGGGTGCTTTGTGTGGGGGGCGAGGAGCCCCCCCAGCCCCTTCCCCTCGGGGGGCAGCGCCCTGAATCGAGCTGAAGCCAGGGCTGGGCTCAGCCCGCTTTCTTACACAGACCCCGGGAACCCCGCGACCCAACACCGGCCTGGAGGTGGGGTGGGGTGGGGTGGGGGGGGGGGGGGACACCCTGCGCACACCGCCATCATTCACCAAACCACCAAGGATAAATTAAAAATAAAATAAAATGAATTTAAAAACAGGAGGAGGGGGCCTCCCCGCGCCGTACCCCCCCCCCCTCAGCAGCACTCCAGGCGGCGGCGCAAGGTCGCCGGGCCTGAACACCGACCCTTTATCTATTTATTTATTTAAAATATGATCATTTTTATCATTTTTCAGCCCGGACGAAGGGGTGCGGGGAGCTGCGGGGTCGAACTGCGGGCCCGTCCCCGTCCCTCCCTACCCCCCCCCCCCACACACACACCCCATACCCCCCCATACCCCAATACCTCTCGCCCCTCAGCTTACGTGTAGATGATGGACATGAAGTGCATGAGCCACAGCACGACGAACAGGACGAGCCCGAAGATGGCGAGTCCCTCCAGGGCCAGCGCCAGCACCGCCATCCCCGCTCCGCCGCGGCTGCGCCTCTGCTCCCCGTCCCCACCGCGCACTGAGGAGGAGCCGCTGCCGCCAGCCCAGCCCAGCCCAGCCCCGACCCCTTCCCTTCTCTTCTCTTCCTTTCCCCGGCCCCTTTCCCGTTCCCCCTCCTCCTGCCGCCGCCTTTCTGTCAGGCGCAGGCCCGGCCCGCCGGGCAGGGGCGGGCGGTTATGGCCGGTACCGCCCCGCTACCGCCCGGCCATGGCGGCGGGGCCCGCAGTGCTGGGGCGGGCTGGGGCGTGAGGCGCGGCCGCCCCCCGGGCTGCCTCTGTGGGGCTGGTGTCGGTGAAGCGCTCCTCAGTTCCCTGCTAAGAACTCGGTCGTAGCTGTTTCAAGAGTCTGGTGGCCAAAATGTCCACGAACTGCACCAAAATCTGGCTTCGGGGTAACGCGGCTCAGTGTCGGGTCCTGGTGTATGGGCTGAAAGCAGTGCCCTCAAGTTGCACCAGGGTAGATTCAGCTTGGAAATTTGGAGACATTTCTTCGCACAAAGAGCAGTCAGGCACTGGAACGGGTTGCCCAGGGTGGTGGTGGAGTCCCCACCCTTGAGGAAATTCAAGGAAATGCTGGACGTGTTGCTCGGGGACGTGGTTTAGTGGGCGACACTGGTAACAGGGTGATCTCGGAGATCTCCTCCACCCTTAACCATTCTATGTTCACAAAGCTCACATGCTGCCGCAGAAAATGACCAGCTAAATTGAAACTGAAAGCACTGCTTAAAACTGAAACGGGAGTGAAAAGCTACTGACAAATCTCTGGTAGGAACAGGCGAGGGACTGGTGTGCCGCAGAGCCAATGCTGCGCGAGCCAACATACCTTCACGCTGTCTGGCTTCAGTCTTTTTCTCAGCAAAACTGCTATTTAATGAACTTTCCACGTAAAACACAGGGCCCCAGTCTTCAGATTCACTTATCACAGATCGTACCTCATTGCTAACTGCAGGTGGTAATCTATCAGTTTTTCATTTTTCCCTGTTAGAAGCTAAGGATCGTGCTCATATGGGCTTAGGATGGCATCATTCTTAATGAGCTTTATGTACATTTTTAAGCCGTGAGTTGAACAGTAGTGCTCAGTTTTGATAGTGTCACAAGACCAGCCAGAGAGTTCTGAGTCAGTACGTCCGAATCATGAAAAGTATGAGCTGATATATGTAATAAACCCTTACTTGGCTGGACTTAATCTCTCTTCTGAGGCAGAAACAACCTATGCAAAATAGTATCTTGCATTAAAATATTACAGTACAGTGAATTAGGAAGATTGAGGGCCAGTCTTCAATAGTAAGTTGAGCAAATAATCACAATTTATTAAACTTTTTTTTTTTTTTCTGGCTCTGAAATATCGAGCTGAATCACTAAAGCTTAATCTTTGTCCCAGAAGGTGTTTGCATGGGAGATTATGTTGACCAGCTGCTTATTTTGCAATAGCTGTTAGGGTCAGTGGCTCCATACAAACATTCTGCGGCTTCTATAAACTGTAGCATGTGTTTAAGAATTGTTAGAGTATAAATAAAATGAATAAAGGTTATTTACCCTGCTACTGACTGCAACCTTCAGCAAAGCATACTAATGATGAATGAGCAGCCATCACACAGTGTCATGCAGGAAAATGCCAAGCTGGCACAAGTCACTTTGGTTTAGCAGAGGATCTGTCTTTCTGCCATCCCCTCAGGGTCAGCAATCGGTCCTGCTTGCTCTGTTGTATTGAAAGGAAGAAATTCATCCTCATGAGAGGTTTAAGGTAAAAAGGGCAACAAGAAACCTTTGGGAGACTGCAGCATCCAACACTGAAGTTGATGCCTAGTTTAACACACGAGGCTACAATACACTTTCAGGAGGTTTACTGGGAGCATGGTGGAGAGACGTGAGGTAGGGTAAGGCCTTTGGTCTGAAGAATGTCTCTAGCCAAACCTGCAACATGGCTTCTTTCAGCAGGTACATTATATATTTCAGCTGGTGGGTATGTCCCCCAGCTTTGTGGGGGACAAAGCGTAAAGGATATGGCTTCCCGGAACAAGGGGCCATCTGGAGCTGCAGCAATTTGAAGTGATGGATGACATGCTCCTGGTCTCCGATAAGCACAGACTGTGTCGATTCACAAAGAGCAGTGTTCTTCAGCTGGTGAGAATCTGCCTCCTCCTCAAAGATGGCTCATCATGCCTCAGAGGCATGATACACCCTGGAGTTTTCATCAAATGCCTTGGACTTATGCTAATGTGTACTGGTTTTTTTGTTTGTTTGTTTGTTGTTTTTTAAAAAAAGGCAACCTTTCCATGCGTTATAGAGGTACTGCTCTTGGTTCATTCTTCATTTCATTGCCAAAATACCAATGAATTTATTTACCAGGGTTTGAGGACAGCTTTGCTGCATACTGAAAAAAAGACAGAATCGTAGAAAAATTAAGGTTGGAAAAGACCTTCAAATCATCTAGTCCAGCCATGACCCTACTACCAATGTCACCCACTAAAGCATGTTTCTATGCAGAAGATCCAACTTTTCCTTGAACACCCTCAGCGACAGTGACTTAACCGCTTCCCTGGGCAGCCCGTCCCAATGCTTGACTGCTCTTGCTGAGAAGAAATGTCTCCTAATTTTTTTAATTGTTGAAGAGTAGTGCTCTTCGTTCAATTCTTTGTTTTAATCGTTGAAGTATAGGAGCATGATGTTTCCATTTTTCCACTCACCAGGGACATCACCCAAATGCCAGGACTTTTCAACTAGGATGGAGAGAGGTTTGACAACTCCATCAGCCGGTTCCCTCAGGACCCTGGGATTCATGTCATCAGGTCCCATAGACCTGTCCCTGCTGAGATCCATCAGGTGGTCTCGAACCTGCTCTTCACTTACAGTGGGTGGGACTTTGATCTCCCAGCCTCCGCCTGTGGGTTCCGGGCCATGAAAGACTTGGGAAGCCCGTCTACCAGTGCAGATGGAGGCAAAGAAATTGCTGAGTACCTCAGCCTTCTCCACGACTGTTGTTACCAATCACTCAGCTAGAGAAACCCGTTCCTAGGAGAAGAACTTAGCCACCTCTAATCGCTTACACACTCCTATTTTCAGCCCTCCCTCGGTCTATTTTCACAAATGTTAGAGGTGCACGGTGGCCCTCGGGGACTCCTCCTGTCACCCCAGCGCAGCAGATCGAAGGCAGCTGGGTCCTCTCTTGTGCTCTTCCTCGAGGCTCTGTGCAGAAGGGATGGCGCCTGTGGCACAAGGGCTGGGGGATGGGAAAGAAACACACACACACAACCCCTGAGAATTAGCAACAGAGTGGTTTATTGGTGGGACGTCTTGCAGGTAGGCATGTCCATGGTGCTTGGGGGCTCCGTCGCAAGCTAATGCTTGCGATGGGGCTGGCGCGACGACGAGTAGGGCACTAGGCGGGCACTCTTGCGACGCTCCTTGTGCGCTTGGAGAGTGGAGAGCAAGGACGCGCCGCGGGGGTCCCAGCTCAGTTCTGGTGGAGGTGGATCCACCTCCATCGGCTCCTCCTCGTCTCTTGGGGGATCCGTCTCCATCGGCTCCACAGTGTTGGGCAGAAGGCAAAGCCAGTCCTTGGCTGGGACTGCCCAAACGGGCTGTCGTCCACTTGGCATGTTTTCAGGCCAGGGAGCAGATGCAGGGGCTCGTCCGCTTGCACTCCTTGGTGCAGTGCTTCCGTTGGCTTGATCTTCCTGCGTGCGACCACTGCTGGCATCTGATCTGTGGCCGTGGCTGGGTCCTGCACTGGTTTCCCTGGGGTAGGAATGCCTGTGCTCCCCGTGTCTGTCTGCCCGATGATAGTCCTCCGTTTGCCCCGTGCCACTGTGGCGGCTGTGGGAAGGCGCAGGGCCCCCGTCGCTGCGTGGTGGAGGGGATGACCTGTTCCTCGCATCGCTGCGGTGCCAGTGGTACCGCCGGTAGGTGTCTGGGCTTGCTTGATGGACGCGTCTCTGCTCCGTGTGGCTGGCTGGCTGATGTTCCTGCCTTCGCCTTGTGCCATCGTGGCGTGAGCTGGAAGACCCATTCCCCGAGTCGCTGTCTCGTCTAGGGGAAGGGCGACTCACGGCTTGGACTTGCTGGTGTCGGAGCCCGTCCTTGCTTGTTCCTGGCTGCACGCGATGCCTTCCATCAGGAGACCTTTCAGGCCGGGGTGCCGAGCCACGGGGTCGTTCACTTGCACGCTGAGGTGCCATGCCACTGGGAGGTGGATTTGCATTTGCGGCTCCAATGCTGCCGTCAGGTTTCTGGCCATGCCTGGATCCTGCACTGTGCTGGGGACTCTGGGCACGCCTCTGCTGCATGTGGCTGTCTGCCCAATGGACGTACCTTTGCCACTTGCCACTGTGGCGGCTCTGGGAAGGCCCAGGCCCCCCGTCGCTGCGTGGTTGAGGGGATGGCCTCTTCCACGCATCGCTGCGGTGCCCATCGTGATGCTGATAGGAGTCTCTGCTTGCTCCATGGGCGCGCCTCTGCTCCGTGTGGCTGCCTGCCCGATGTTCCTGCCTTCGCCCCATCCTGTTGCTCTGTGAATTGGAAGGCCCATGGCCTGAGTCGCTGTCTCGATAAGGGGAGGGACGGCGCACGGCTTGGCCTTGCTGTTTGAGCCTGTCCTTGACGAGTGCTGGCTCTATGTGATGCCTTTTTTCCGTGCACTTTCTCGGCTGGGGTGCTGAGCCATGGCGTTGTTCATTTTCACGCCCAGGTCCCGTCCCACTCTGCGCCTCATTTCCATTTCTGGGCCCCACACTGCCATCTTCTTTCTGGCCGTGCTTGGGCCCTACGCTGCGTTGCGCGTTGTTGTTGCTCGCGCGTTCCTGGCGGCGGTCTGGCCGCTGGTCCTGCCGGTTCCTCATGCCGCCATTTGGACTGGAAGAAGGCCCAGGCCCCCTGTCACTGTGTGGCTGGGGGGCCGGCCTGTTCCTCGCATCCTTGTGGTACCCATAGTACCACTTGGGGGTGTCGCTGGGCTGGGTGCCAGAGCTGCCTTGGGCACTGGTGTCTGTCATGCCGCTGGCTCTCTGCCTCCGCCCATAACTCTCCTCCATCTCCTTCTCCTTCCTAACAGCTGCCTTCGTTGCTGGTGCTCGCTGGGCCTGCAACGCTGCCCACTCACACCAATGAGG